AAAAAAAAAAGAGAAACATCTTTCTGTCAACCCACACATAATCTTTCTAAACATCTTCCATCTCCTTATTAACACATGGCATTTGGTCAGCTTGGCCCCAGACCCGTAGTCAGGTATCAAATGACTGGATCTTTTCCAGAGGCACAAAATTTCTCCAGGGTCTATTCTGGTTGGCCCCCAGCCTTTCTGCTGGAGGCCCCCGGCAGGTGAGATACCAGATCTCTAGCCAGAAGGAAAAGGACATTTAAGACTATCTGAAGAAGAGGATCAATAAGCAATGCAACCGAAGTCAGCCCAACCCCACCAGTGCCCATGGACAACTTGCACTGTGAGACACAAGACTCAGATTTAGCAATTCATGAGATACCACACAGAGCCCTCTAAGATTCATAAAAAACAGGACAGAGACATCAGCCAGAAGGAATCCATGGTTATTATCCCCCAAAGTGTCACTTTCAGGAGCCAGTTCTATACACAAGATAAGCTGATCATCTCAAGAGGCTCAAGAATTAAGCAGTATGTCCTGTCCAATTTGTCAAGCCTACTCATACCTAGGCCTTGTTGGGCACTTGTATGGTCTCACTTTTGAGGCCCAAAGTATGTTGGAAGGCACTTAAAGAATTAAACTACTTGGTCTCACTACACTGAGGCATTGAGGTGGTTTCATCTGTCGCGTCTTAGTTATGTCTAAAATCAGGTATAACGCACAAATCCACACTGTACAGTGTACTGTGTATTTGTAGAGCACAAATCCAGACTGACCTCACACTTTACCTAGAGATGTACATCCCCCGTCATCCATCTTCTTCTACAAAGAACCTCACCACTTCCAATACCTGTCCCAGTTCTTTTCCACCAACAACTAGAAGAATAACTTGGAGCCAAAGTAAACCCGGGAAGAGAAGYTTTTTGTTCCATCCTGATCACAAGCAGCACTTTGTGTGTAAGACTAATAAGATGCTATATTGCTTTTCTCTSATTAGGGATTGTCCTAGCTTGAGGATATACTTTCTGAACTACTTTTATCTCTACTTAACTTGCCTATTTCTTTTCCAATCTCAAAAAATGATCCTGCATCTACTGCAGTCAAAACCAGTCATCTAACTGCCCTGAGTGGATGCRAGTACCACTGACGTTAATGGCAAAATCTTAACTTTGTTCTTACTGCAATACAGAAAGCTCATACTGTAAGATCCATATTGTGCCCCTGCAGACAGCATGCAGTTTCCAGGGATGGCTGTCACTGGAACAGCATCTAATTAGGGGTACAGCATGGTCTTGGGGAGCAATTTTGGGAAGTATTCTGTGATTAAGCAATAAGACCAGCACTGAGCAGGAAAGGCAAGAACAAGCAAACCCAAGACATCCTAGAAAATAGCATCAATATTACATGAATAAAACTAACACTTATATCATTGCTTTCTATTGGAAACCTGTGAGTATATCACTGTTTTGCTGTTTGCCATGATTATTTTGGTCCTGTCTCCATTTTCCCCCCTTCAAAAGCATTACTGAAGGAAATGAGATAAAAGTAACAGCTAGATTCAGGGTGTGATCATTTGCATGCACATATCTCAGAATCACAAAATGGCTGAGGTTGGAATAGACCTCTAGAGATCATCTAGTCCAACCCCCCTGCTCACGCAGGGACACCCAAAGCATGTGGCACAGGGCGGCATCCGGGTGGGTTTGGAAGACCTCCAGAGAAGGAGACTCCACAACCTCCCTGGGCAGCCTGTGCCAGGGCTCTGTCACCTTCACAGTGAAGAAGTTCTTCCTCATATGGAGATGAAACTTCCTGTGTTTCATCTTACACCCATTGCCTCTTGTCCTATCACTGGCCACTACTAAGAGGAGTTTGGCCCCTTCCTCCTTACATTCACCCTTCAGCTATTTATACACATTAACCAGATCCGCTCTCAACCTTCTCTTCTCCAGGCTAAACAGGCCCAACTGATTCAGTCTCTCCTCGTAYGATAGATGCTCCTGTCCCTTAATCATCTTTGTTGCTCTCTGCTGAACCCTCTCTAGAAGCTCCACATCCCTCTTATACTGGGGAGTATAAGACTAGACACATGTATGTGTTAGCTAWATGCGAGAGATGTGGCAGTTGTTTTCTAGTGTCTATCAAAATTACCATACCACCAGCTCCCGAGAAGACCATAAATGATGTGCAAAAACAGGAAACACACACGGTAGCAAAGAAATCTCCATCTCCCCTCAGAGTTGACCAAGCTATAATCCAATTACCAAATTCTTTCAAAGCATTTTCAAGATCCAGAAACTTGTTTAGCTATTAAGCGCTGGTGGATTTGAAGCAGCTCTGTAATTTATACTAGCTGAGGCTTTAACCCAGAAATTTCAGGATATAAATGCGTTAAGAAGTGACAAAAATGCCAAGCTCAAGAATTTTGCTGCATGGCCCTGACGTTCCACAGTCAAGACTATCACTCAAAGGTATGAATATGAATACCAAATGCATAAGTCTCTTRTGCTTTGAGGGCTGTTCTAATTCCTCCCCCAAAACTGTTCATCTGAAATAGGTATTTTACCTGTTTTATAGGAAAACTTGCTAAAATATATGGGGTACTGAATAAATAAAGGCAGATTTCTAAGAAATTAAACTCTACTAGTTTAAGAGCCTCTCCAATTTGTTTTTAAGTACTGCACTGGTTTAAAGCAATGTAGTGTTAGTGATTCAATTAGTCTCTGAAAACACTAAAGGCAGTTTCATGAGGGAAATTAGATAGGGCTTTTAGAGCAGAATTAATATGGCAAATCCTTATATCCTGTGGAGTTTTATATGCTTATAAAAGTAGAAAAAAATATAAAAAGTAAACTCTGGAGTATATAGTATATAGGAATTACAATCATTTGCTCCAGGAACTCACAAGATCTGGAATAATTTTAATATATTGAAAGTAATTCCTAATTCATTCCAGTTCAGGAAAGCATTCTGACCAAGCCCAAGCCTACATCACACAAAGAGTCAGTACAAGCTACAGGTTAAGCACGTGCTTAAGCTCTTTCCTGGATCAGAGCTGCCCCTATATTGAAATGACCAAGGTATGATGCCTGTGCATTATTTCTCTTCATATTCAAATCTACGATCCTACAAAGCCAAAGATACCTATTGCTGAAATACACTACTTTCCACATGCATTTCTGTACATAAACTCATGCAATATCAGCATTAAGAGAGACTTACCTACATGTTACAGCTGAAATGCTCACTGCCTTCTACCTACTTCCCAGGCATTTCTACCTACAAAATTGCTTCTAAACACTTGGGAGTTTGACATCATACCCTGTTTTCTTTGTGACTTTGCTGGTTGGAATGGCTATTTTTCCCTGCCTATTTTTCCTCTTTCCTTCTTCTTTTGGGCCTCTCCAAGATCCCTTGCTAACACTCCAAAAGTATTGCTGGGCTCAGCCCCACCGCAGGGTGATCCTGTGCAAGCAAAACTCTACCCCCAARGGAGCACGTGCAGGATCTGCAACCAGCTGCAGCTTGGGAGGACCACCACAGTGATTCCTCAGGAAGAGCAATTTTAAATAACCAAGTGCTGTTCATGTCAGGAAAGAAAGTAGCCATGTCTTAACAGCAACAACCACCCATAGCACAGCTGCACACCCATTTACCCTCCGCCATCATTTTCCAAACTAAACTGATGGATGCCAGAGGAAAGGACACCTCAGACTCCTTTCATACTGCTGTCAGCTCTAGTCCTTCAGTCCACTCATAGACATCAAAAATCTAGATTTTCCTGGTGGGTCTGTGGCAAATGTCCTGCATGGAAGAGCAGAAGCTAGATGTGATTTTGTGACTGGTCTCCTGAGTTAGCAGATACTTGCAGGAAGGAGGCAGGACACACTAGTCCTGGCTGAGAGCAAAGTGGCCTGTCACTGCAGGGAGATGCTGTCCCTGCAGTGACTCCATCAGCATCTCTGGACTCCATCAGCATCTCTGATGGAGTCCAAGTCCATCAGAAAAGGTAAAGTTTTTACTGAGACAAAAGCTATAATGAATACTATTGTTGGCATAACCAGTTACTGGCCTTTGACACCCTTACTCTCTCTACAGTAGCGCTCACAGGATTAAACAGCCCCAAGTTAGCACCCAGAACCAAATCTGCACCCAGAACAGATCAGCACCTTCTGTTGGAGGATCTGAAAGCCCTTCACAAAGGTTAACGTTCGGCCTCACAACCCGCAATGAGGTAGAGCAGTATCATCCCCATAGGATGGAGAGACATACTGAGGCACAGGGTTACCAAGAGGCCTGCTCAAGTTCAGACACCAAATCCAGCGGTGCCCAGAGCCCAATGAAGGCGTCCCGACTACTGCAGCTATGCTGTGTCCACAGGAACACACGATCCCCCACCTTCCCCCATGAAGCTTTAATAGGAGCCTTTAGCCCTTTGAACTAAAGCTGGGTGTCTATTTACAATACATCAAATGTTTAGCAATTACCCAGGTAGAGAATTACTCAAAGCTGCGTGTGGGCACAGATGATTTCTTTGCAAAACTCTAAGTGTAAATGATGAAGCGCTAAGCCTACAGGGTGCAAATTTGGTACACAACAGCTCTGACCCTTCAGTAATTCCCTGTCCCGTCTCTCAGATGCAGCTCTTTAGGTTGCACTGTACGTATCATCATGTGAACCTCTGAAGATGTGACCTGCACAGATTGTTTCATACTAGTGATGCAAGCAAACAAAGCGTGAAGTGGCTTCAGCAACAACCCAGCATTCGTGTACCATCCAACATCACAATGTTATAATTCCTTCTACTCACAAGGGGTTGCAAGGGAGCAGGGAATAGGTATATACCGTGAAACAAAGGCAAATAGAGCAACAAAGAAAGGTTTGATTGCACGGATTTCATTTAGCTAAAGTTCTATGACACTCAATTTCTTCAAAAGCGTATTCCATGAGAAAGAGAGGCAATGCCAGCTAGCCTACGACAAAGCTTCGGTGTAATAAAAACCACCAGCCCTGCATAAATAGATGAACTTTGCATTCTGTAGGAGTCATTACTGATTAATAAAAGCAAAAGATTTCTCTAAATACATTAAGTTTGTTTTTGCCTGATAGAAGAGTTTCTTAAAATACGTTTTTCTGAACACCACAAAGTTCCATTTGTTATATAAGTAGAGAATCTGGCCAAAGTTAGGAATACTGAAGTGTAAAAAAACAAATATGCAGTCTAAACATTACAAAAACTATCAAAACATTCAATATTTTGAATTGATTTTCTTTCTTTTCCCCTACAAGTATCTGTTTTGGCAGTGATGACAAGATATCTAAGTTACATTGTTGTTACTGTTCTGCTGTTGTTGGTTGCCTTTTTTTTTGTACATTTTTTCTGAATGTGTTTTTTAAACAAAAGAAAACTACCAGCTTTTATAAAAAAGAAGGAATTTGAATCCTTACTCTCAAAACACAGATACAAGGTTTTCCTTATAAAAAGTGTATTGATTTTTTGCTATAAAAAGTGACCTATAGGGTGTCAGACCTGAAAACAAATTTTCACAGTGTTTTCAGTGTTGGCTGTTTACAAGGCATTGCTATTGTAAACAGAGATAGAGAGATACCATAGCATAGGTAAAAAATTTGTTATCAGCCAGCAGTATCTTTGGAGCATATATGAAAACTGTTGCACTCAGATAACTCAGCTGACTTCTTTTTGCCTTTTTTTTTTTTTTTTTGCTTATCACAGTAAAACATTCCAATACTTAAATATCTGAAGAATCACTATTGTACTTACTTTACTTAGCATCTTATGCAACCGCTACAAATCTTTTCCAAACTTCTGCTGGCATAGTCTGCTGGTACAATGAGCATCAAACTAGTAAGTCATTCCCCTTCCTGCCCTCCAGCAACAAAAACAGGACTAGTTGGCATACAGGTGCTACAATCAGGGGTGAAAATGAGAAGCAGGTCTGCTAGCAAACACTGGCAGTTTGGACAGGTGAAGAAAATCATTTGCTCTACTTGAGTTTGCAAATTGGTCACAAGCAAGAGATTGCACTCTTCCAGGGGGAGCTCTTTTGCTATCGCTACGACAATCATGTAGTTGCAGCAGAGGACGAAATCACAGAAGAAAATGAGAAATGCACAGGATCACTGGCACGCTGGCCTAAATTGCTGGCAATGTCCATTTTGCATCCCTATAACTCTACTTAGAAGAATGGTATCCCTCTATCTCTATAGATTGATAGGTGTTGATTTGTGGCACAGAGGATAAATCACAGAAAAAAAATGACATATAACTGTGTGTCCTTTGTCTGATCTGAAAGCACCAGTCACCTATCTGCTTCTTTTGGCAGAAGTACTCTACTGTATCTTAACCATAGCTTGCAATATGGACAACTAGCTTCATGTCGCTTTACATGGAATCTCCCAGGGAATCGGAGTCATCCAAAGACAGAGGCAGATACAAGTCCTGTAAGGAAAAAGAAGRAAATGTTAACTCACTGGTCCAGTTCTGCGCACTTCACAGGGACCGGGTGGACTTCTTGGTCACTGGTTATGGAGTGGGCTAATCAGCTAATTTCTTAAGTAGTTCATGGCTAAAATCAAGGCAGGCCACTTGCACAGATKACCTCCATAGCAAAAGAATGACAATTGTTCAGTGATAAGTTTGAGAATAATTTTTTATCACTTCTGGATCAATATATCCAGTGCAGCATACACATGAAAGAAGATCTTTCTATACACCGGTCACTTTGAATCTCAGTGCATAATAAAATGTCTTACTTTATTTTTGACAGCTGTCCTTAGCATCAGTCTCTTGCAACATCACCTGTTCCATCATTTACTTTTGCATCAATTAGAAGGGTTAGGAAAATAATCCCCAAATTATTATTGGGATTGAATGTAAACATTTTTCAGGATCCCTTTCCAGGATAGAATTTTATTGCACTTATTCACATTTCTGCGTGGAACTAGGTACACTAACCTGCTGTACAGCTAAAGCTCTCGTTGGTCCTTTTTGAACCCTGACCTATGTACAAGGAAAACCTGTGAGCAAAATAAAGCAAAGCACAAATACATTGAAAGGGGATTCACAACAAATGCTGATATGAGAAGAGGTAAAGTATAACTTTGTGGTGAACTAAGCCTAAGCATTTATCATTTTAAGCTTTAGGGGAAAAGAGGAAACGTGATTTCATCATAGACGGGGAATAGTTCCTAGGAGGAAAACAATGATGCATGAATATTCTGGTAACCTAAAATGTTACATTCATGTCTGCTGATTGGCTTAATTTAGTGGAGAAGCTCATAGATGGGTTGGCTTTGCCCTCAGCAATCACCATCTATTATAAATGTTCCAGAGGCTTCACTGGAAAGGTTACAAATCAGCCAGATGAAAACATACATAAAACATTAATGAAGGTGAGTTTATACTTCCCTTTACCAGGAAGCAAATCTTTATCTCCAAATCCCTAAATGAAGAGTGTTTGGAAAGTGTTTTCAGGTCCTTGATTGCCAAAAAAAAATAATGCAGTTTACAGCATTAATCTTGTTGAAATACACACAAGCAACTGTTAAATACAAATTACTGGCCAGATCCTGTTCTCAGTTATAAATTAATAATAAATCTGGACCCATTCCATTAAAACTAGTGGGTTTCCTCAAACCTAAGCAGAGCAGCTGGGATCAGAGCCCAGTCCTGAGGAAAATACCAATTTCATCTGTTTTCAGCTATGTCTTTTTTTAAAGGCAAACAAAGCTGAGTGGCTAGAATCTCTCCATATGTTGGATATATTTTAAGGATATGATTCCTGAGAAGACATAACTCCACCCAAGGCTCCACTGGGACCACTGAACCCCACGTCTAAAGGTCTGTGATCCCAAGTCCTGTGCAGTAGGGGTCTAATCCAAAGGCCACTGGACTTCTGGGGGTTCTTCCCCTTGGCTTCAATATGCTTTACTCCATTGCTGTAGCAGGGGCAGTTCAACTTCTGCCACCATTACTCACTTTCAGAAAATCCATAATCCTCAAAGGATCAAGCTTAACTTGTGCAATATAGCCCACAATGAACGACATGTGGCTGGCTGACTGAAAACCTCAGCACCATCACAATTTTTAAATTAGTTTTCCAGAATTTCTTTTCAAGACAACTCTTTCAAAATCAAACCCAGGCTGAGGGGGAAATTCTGATTACTAAATTCAAGTGGCATTTGATTTCTAAAGCAGAAATCCCACTGACCTCCCCTCATCCCTTAAGTTTATATTCAAATTCCATCTGAAGACTGTCAGAGAATAACAACACTTTGGTTGTTCCAGAAGTAAGAAAGCCCATGGAAATGAGAAATTCCTATCTGAATAACAGAATCATGAAAAGCTGAGGCTGCTGCTACCCCTTTTCAAATCAATCAATACATGAAATCCTCTCTGAGGGCAGCCAAAGTTTACTGAACTCTTCTAGGACTGTTTGCGTCTTGTCAGACAGCCTGGATGTTATCAGGAAAAACAGGAACCGTAGCAGAACACCACTAGTTCACCACCAGTACAAAAATCACTTATTGCCTGTAAAGCAGAGCATGGCCTAAAGAATTTTTTTAAAATAATTTTGAAGCAGCAATAAAATGAAGGCTTAGAGCTTCAGTAACATTCATGTTTCTTCTGCTGTTTAATGTGCCAGATTTGCCAACACTTAAGCTTTCCAAGAGAGGAAGATTTACATAAAGATAGCATTTATCAGCAACTCAGTAATTCTTTCAAATACCGATACTGATTTTTCATTATGTCACTAGATCCCAAAGTGACAATATTCCTAGGTAATGGGCCAAGTTCTCCACTGGTTCAACTTSGAGAGATGCACTTCAGAAAATATGGACCTGAATTAAGTGTCTTACATATCTGAGTAGACTAAGAAGGAAAGAGCTGTAGTAAGGTATAAGAAACGTAATACCTTGTGCTTACGGAGGCTCCCTGGGCTGGTGGGTGTGGAGATCGGAGACTGCTTGGATTTGGGTGTAGAGAGCTGACTGCTTGAGGTCCCATTTGCTGTCACAAAACAAGASAGAAGGCAGCAATCAGACAAGCAAGATATTCTCAATGTTCTCAGACTTTTAAAAATATGGCTGAGCTTAAGCAGCTTTTGGAAGGGTTAAGGAGTGATGCAATTGCAGAGATAGCTTTTAATCAAAACGAAGGGGTCCAGATCAATGTCAGAGCATGTATTTATTATTAATCATGCATTTATTGTGCTAAGGAGAAATCAAAGTAAACATCATATTAGGGAGAAAATTGAAGGGAAACAAAATGGAATAAGGAGAAATTAAGTTTTTCTTATCCCTTATATTCTTTAAAGCAAGCAAATGCCTTTGATAATTAACAAGTGTCAGGCTGAAACTTTCATAAGGACATATATACTTCTAGTGAGCATGGCTGTACCTATGTTGCGTAGCCCTTTCTGAGATATAGCCCTTCACCCTAGCCTGGCTACCAGGGTTGTAAACATATAGCTCTGTCAGCACGAGCAGCATTACCTGTGGGGAGGAAATTCAACCTCGGGATGGCCATGTCTAAGTGCGTGATCTTTTCTGGCTCTTTCTTTTTGCAACCTAAGCAGCAGCAAGCCGGAGGCCTTGTGAGCATTAAACTACATTTCCTAGTCAAGTCTACAGAAAGTRACGTTTTCAAAATCAAATCCAGATGTTAACAGATTCAGCACAGTCCGCAAAACTAAAACCCAAGTATTTGGACTGTCACTTTCTTAAGTGGCACAAATGTTGCCAACCTTTCAGACAACCACACCAATTTCTACCCCTCTTTTAAAGACACTGTTCTTAATTGATGAATATTTCATATGGAAAGACAAGCATGCAGTGATTCAGGCCTGCTGTCCTGCTCGCCAAGCACCCAGACCCCGTGTGTACCAATACTCTAACTGTAAAGGCCCCACAGCATCCACAGGGGGATGGATAGTTTCARCATATGGGACTTAAACTTTGGCTGTAGTAACTGCATATGCAAATTGGATTTGCAATTAAGCAAGTATTTGAGAGTCTAGASGAGGTTTAAAAAGTGTAACATACCTTGCCCCTGGCAAGGTGTGTTTTTTAAGGGAAAATCAGGAGCAACTGATAAAAGCGCAGTTAGGGAGGCAGCTGTGTGGCCATGCAGGCACTTGCTTTGCCGTTGMCACAGGGAGTGGAAATGAGAATCAGGAGCATCTCGGAGGGCTGCAGCCCTGCAGAGGTGACAAGGAACCCGCCCTCCCCAAAATCACTCTCTGATCAGCAATTCCACACTGAACCTTGGATTGCTTTTCTGCCAGTATGTCCATACACCCTTCCTGCTAGAACTTAGCATATCATCAACATTTTGTACTTGCAAAAATATTCTAAGGAGACTAGAATGAATAACAAATTCATTTGTTATTGGCTTTTGGGTCCTCATTAGTAGCCTCACTGCTCTCTGATGCAACATCTCTCTTGCTTTCATTCCTGAGATGGTTTCGTTCCTCTTCTCTCTCATGTTCCTCTGAGAGATGGGGGACAGTTAGGGATAGTTCTGGGCAGAGTCCCTGGGTCGAATGTAGAGGCCATACATATGAAATCGAGTGAGTATAAAACATATGTCTCAAGGCACAGGACAGAGGATGAAGAGCAGAGGAAGGAAGAGCARACACTAGCTCAGCTCAGACAACAGACACATGGTGACATGGGACCTCTCTCTTCATATCCAGCATTTCTAAGCAAAAGGGACTGCTGGAAAGTGGAGRCTATTCATCACAGATAGCTTTTTCTCATTACAAACACACCTAAATGAGGAAGAAGTTGTCTCCTAAAAGCTGGTAAAAAAATGAAAATAATTGTTTCTCTATGATTCGGGAATGGAGTGACCTTCCCTTCCCTGTTCCACTCAGACTATTCTTTATTGCAGTGGGGAGAAAACTGGTTAGGGAAACCCAGAAGCTACTGCACACTGCTCTGGCACGTTTCCACTTTTCACTTTGTTCCGGTTCTACAAAGTGAGTTGCCTTTAATGTTGGTAGGGGAAAAAAAAGGAGAGTTCACTAACTACATGCCATATAACGAAGGGATTTCAGACAGAAAGAGCTTACATCTCTTTCATGTTTCTTTAGCAAGTGATTTKGGGCTTCCTGTTAAAGAAAACATAGAGCAGATTAATTCTAATACGTCCTGTATTAAGTGGGAAGCATTTCTCATTTCTAACATGCCTCTTTGGACTTATTTCTAGTTGTCACTGCTCCAGAGGCAGGCAGCTGTCCTTTTTAAGATGAAGGGCACCACTTAGAAACCCCAGGAAGAACCCAAATTTCCCTTCCACAAACAGGAAAGCTGGGGAACAGTCGACATTCAGTGTGCTGCAAATAGATGTAATTGCTGCAGGGAAGGAGAGAAATTCCCTAATACAATAAGACTTTTAAGTGCTATAGTGGGATGTTAATATTTTATGAGCACTGATGAAAAAACAGATATGACATCCAAACCAGTAACCCTGTGAGATGGATGTGTATCATTACAGATGCTCATGTATAGCTTTACAGCAGCAACAGCAACAATTAAGAAGCTCATTTAATTTTGTCTGTGTCTCCTAATGAAGAACAGCCTTCATAATCAAACTTGCACACATTTCTTTTAAACTGAGTGCAAGGGAAGTAACAATAGACAAAGAGCAGATCCCAGGTGGTGCTTAATGCTGCTGCTCCACTGAAATCTGATGAGTTACTGGAGTTGGGGATCTCTCATAAGCTCAGCTRTTGAAAGCCATTCTTCAAAAACAGTTTTCATATTAATCCACTTGTTCTTTGGCTTCACTGTTTGTGTKTTTATGTCTTATTTATAGCATTGTATCTGCTTTGCAACCACAATTTACCTTAAAGCTCCTTTGTGCCTATGACMTTCCTTTAACTGCACAACCACGTGCCACCCTTTCCTCCCCAGGCCCCTTGCCTCATTCCGTGCACAAGACAGTTTGTACTCAGGAAAGGAAATCAGTCTTGTCCAGCAAAGGAGAGGAAGGATGGAAAACACAGCATGATGTCACGTTGGAGCTGGCAATAAGCTATCCAAGTGATCTCAATTCTCTGCCTGCCTCTCCCACAGATATTTTAGCTGAACTTCTCCAAAGCGATTGCTCCTGCTACTGCTCAGGTTTACTAGGCTACCTGGAGCTCCRGGTCTGAATTTGCAACACTGTTAAGCACTGAGACCTGCAAATGAGGTTAGGGAGATGACCTTTGAAGCTGACATTTCCATCAAGGGACAGAACTGGAAAAAAATCAAGGATCAAGGATCAAAGGGCATGCTCTAAATCTGTGGCTGTTTCTTTTTTTTTTTTTTTTTTTTTTTTTGTAATTGAAAAATGAGGCTATTACTCCCTGCCCCTTTGGGGTTCCCAGGTTCTGCAGACGAATTCTTAGTTTGCAGGGCATACACTCATACATCACTACAGCGAAAGACAATAAAAGAAGTACAAGAACAATTTGATCTCTTGGTCAAGGACTGAAGACTCACCAAGAAAACAAGGGCAGTGACCAGAACAAGGGCAGCGCAAGGAAGATGTACAAATTTCAGCTCGTTCACCAAGCATCAGCCAGCCAGCTCCCCAGGACAGAGGAGCCCGTGAAGAACCACAGACTTCACTAGAGAGCTCACTCTGGAGCGGCAGAATTCAGGTTAGGCCGCCATCCCTCACTCAGGCCCTACCTAAGGCCGAAGCCCTCAACTTTGCAGCACTGACACCTTCTAGCAGGGTGTTTTGCAGGGGCCATCGCTCTGCCAGCTAGCAGAGCACACGGGCAAGTGGGACCACAGGCTGCAGCGCCTCGCGTGCGACGCACAGACATCTGCTGCCTTTCTAACACATCCATATGTAATGACCCTCGGGAGCCAGAGCTGCAGCCAGGACAGACTGACGTTCTCTATCTGYTCTGCTAATCGCTGCTGCCTTGTGAATTTGCTTTTGTCCCTCTCTGAACCCGGTTATTACAGCAGTGAGAATTAAAGTTCGAAGCTGTGTGGCAGAGCCCTGCCAGGCTCCCTGTGCCGGATCAGTGCGAGGCTGGGGAAGCTGTGCTCACATTTCAGCACAGGTACCTGTGGCTCTGTCCCACAAGAGGCTATGGTCATGCTGGTTTTCAAAATCACAGGCTCTCCTACCAAAGCACATGTATTTATACAGCAGATCRGCCATCTTTCACACAAGTTACTGTAAGATGAACTAAGGTTTTCAAAATAAATAATAGCAAATGATATCCTATTTTCTCTCATCTCTAGCAATCTAGGAGCTGCTAGCTTTGCTTTTTGGCAATGTTGCCCTTCTAATATGTCTTCTTTCAGAACACATAAAAATCCCTCAATAAAGAGCCAAAGAGCTCTTTTCACTACATGAGTCCAAGGGTGGGCTACGCCCCTCTTTGCACAGGTTGATATCGCTGTCCTGGCTGATCCATTGGGAAAGGAGGTATAAGCAGATTTCAGAGATGTACTCAAAACCACRGAGTGAGTCAGTGGTAGAGAATGGGATGAGACACAAGTCTCCGAACACCCCGGTCTGCATGGAAGATACTGCTGCTTGTGCACAGGGSGTTTCCACAGCTTTGACTGAGAGGGGCTTTATTTATGTTGACACCTAAAGATCAAAAGGGTTCCTAGTGGCGAGTGGCAGGGGAGTGGATGCAATGTTTTCATGCTGCCAGCATTTCATCCTCAGCATTAGCTGTGTTTCCTTTGAGCACTGTCTGCTGGCAGCACTGGAGTCCGTGTCAGTGCATGAGGCCCAGCCCTGCGTGCACAATCTGCTTTAAGACGTGCCTGCCTGCATGGACRATGCATGGGCACTGGCAAAGGCTCACGTCTTTGACCAGGTTCCAGCTGTATATCCACCATGTTCTACATTTTACTCTTTATAATGTACCCCTTTTCCATATGCTTTTAAAGGGAAATGAAATAACTAAGAAGAGAAATGAAAAAAGAAATAACATACTTTCCTATAACTGCAAGGTAGTTAGTCATAGTTCAGACCTATTTCATTCAAGCAGCTTGGAGATTTATCTCAGAACCTGCATTTACATCCACACCAACATTGCACAGTATCTAYGGCAGCAAAAAATGATCAAAAAACTGTGGAAAAGAACTGAAAAGAACAAAATCTAATGACAGAATCAAGGAAACTCCAAGTTCTGATATGACAACCATAACAATACAAGGGAGCAAAGATAAAATTTGCAAATGGGTAGGAGATCAAACATAAGGCAAAGTATTTAACRTATTTGAAATAAATCAGCTTCTAAATCCTCTCACAAATGAAATAGGTGAGAATTCTGCAAATATAGGTCAGATTATCTTTTATTAATCAGGCTTTATTCAGCATTCCTTGCCTTTTTCAATGTGATAACTTCAAAATCCAGCTAAGCATGTTGAATGTTTAGGTAATAAAGTATTAATTCCTAAGTAACACATCAGCCCGCTCTCTTTACTACAAATCCAACACGACAAGAAYATAAGAGCATATTCTTTTTACTCTCTACCCGGATAAGACAACTTTATTCTCATTAAATAAATAAATTCTGGTTTTTTTTTTTATGTATTGAAATCACAGAGGAAGTCTAAAAGACTCTTGTCTGCATGGATTAGAGAAACCTAGACTGTCCTTCATTACTGATCTTGACTCCAGTAGCTGATCACTGATTAGTGTGTGTGGTTATTTAATCTCCTTCCTAGAAGCCTTGCCAACTGTTTGACATAAAGCAAGCAAGTACTAATATGTTCATTAAACTTCATCATGTGACTTGCCATTTTGTTCCTACTGAGTCAGTCAGTTAGTTTAAGTCAGAGACACGATGGCCATTACACATTTGTACTACATGCTCATGCAAAAGAAAAAAAAAAGTCTAATTTTGGTGGTAATAAGCACTATCTCACAACTCATGCATGGCCTGATTCCCAGATCACCAAATGGGACTTATTCATCAACAGCAGATCTCAGGCTGTGTCTTCACTGTACGTAGGGAACTCTACCATTGTTTGGGATTGTGAAAAAAATTGTAGTTTATAGCCAACCTGAGTTTCAGAACAGTGGATATGGGAATCTTGATCTGCAAATGCAGAACCACTTTTTGGAGGAAAAAAAATGGTTTATTAAGCACCCATGTACACTAGCACCATTTTTTTGTGTATAAAAAGGCAAAAGATTCAACTGCAAACATCCAAGGTCAGGGAATGCAAAACCAAACTCAGAGCACAGTTAATATTCAGATGCCAGAAAACAATCACTCACCATCTTGCTGGTTACCTGAATCGGCTGGAGACTTGCTCCGGCGCATGGGGGCCGGGCTCTTCGCGGAGCTCTTCTGCGGGGTGGGAGACGACTTGCTGCCCGTGGCRGCCGCAGGGCTCCCTTTCATCACCCGGCACTCTAGGGCACAGAGAGCAAACGTGGTTACAACCCGACCCAGGCTCCCTGCCAGGGAAAGTGCCTATGGACATGAGGTATGACACACCTGGAAGCAGCTCAGGCCTTTCTGTCTCCAGGRAAAGCTCCAGGACAGGACAGGTCAAGACCAGGCTGGCTCCCCAGCACTGCCCTTCCCTATACCTCTATCCTAGGGGGATTTTCTGCCATTTCCATTCCCTGGGGGTTCCAACAACTAGTGGGTAGCATGCAAATGGTTAGAACCAAATGAGGCAAAAATGAGGCAAAAAACCCCACAATTTGCTGCGAGTATAAAATGTGATAAAATGTCTATCCCACTCCTAAAGACTTAATAGCAGGGATGAGTTCAATTCACAGAGGTGCAGGAAGCCAAATCTCACCACTTAGGGTCCTTGCTTAGGGGTGCTTGGCCACCCAGGCCAGGTGGCTTTCACCCAACCCGAACCTTTCTGTAGTTCCACCAAGCTGCAGCATTTCAGATGCACAAAGACGACAAAATAGTTTTCCAAATTATATCCTCTATCCTGGGCACTCAGCCCTTTTGGAAAGGTTTGTATACAAATATCTAGTAGATTTATGTACTTAAAGACATGAGTCCCAACAAYGTTTCATTCAAAAATAAATAGACTAGGAAGAGGGGAAAATGTCAACACCATCTACAGTATCCTGTAGAAGGGAACTGAAATCCTAACAAACCCTGTGTTTCCCAGGATTTCAGGCTTGTCAGACCATCAAAACTGGAGTTTATTTACATCCAGAGCTAAGAGTAAAAGCACTTTTCCACCCCTGAACTTAGTCAAGGGGAAGGCAATAGAAAGATTTTCTCTGTGTCAAACGCTGACCAGTCTCACCTTAGCTCTTACAGCCCGTCCTCCCGCTGGATGTGAGGAATGGGTCTTTACCCCAGCCCTGAGTTAGGTGTCCAACACACAGACTACGTGTCACGGGCGAGTTCAGTGCCGCCTGTGCGGCTTTTGCCTGAGAATCCCCTTGACAGGATTCTATACTGGCAATGAAATAAGGCAGCACATAGTGGATAAATAATTGGTCAACCGAAAGCAAGTTGTCTGACCTAAATGTGTGTGTTATTTGTTTATATATCAGAATATCTATGCAAACGTAATCACTCTAAATCTTTCCCCAGGCCTTCCTTGTTCTCAAGCAGTCAAGAGTCTGTCTCTTTTTCTTGCAGATGGGCTGTGAGAGTTTGCTGTTGGTCACACAGTGCAAGACTATAAAGGATGTTCTAYGCTCCAAGGATATTGCATAGGGATACTTAAGCTATAACCATTTTATTCCATCACCTTCTACATGGTACAAAATGGATTTTGAAAACTTTAAATTATTGATATAAACAGTGGATATACTTGATTTTGCCTCCTGTCAAGAGCTTATTCAGATGCTGCCTGCACAGACAGCAGTGCTGATGTGTCCTGGAGTGGCTCTGCATGTGGCACCTCAGCGTGCTCACCCTGGAAGCAGAGGGTACAAACGAGATGCAGCAGCAGCAGCAGGAAGGTGCTCAGTGACAGGGAACATCAGGTGGGAACTGTGCTGGGCAGTGAGGGGGAAAAGGCGACATAATCCTCTCATGCTATTCCTCTCCCTGCACCCTGACGTCCTGCCAGATTGAACAGGAGAACTGATGATCCGAGCGCATGTCATCCGAACAGGCAAGAAAAGCAGCCGTGGTGGAGGAGCTTCCCATAAGTGACAATCACCTGCAAGACATCAGGACTCAAGGTTGTGCTGGCAGCAGCTGACTCAGGGATGACAGGGACACAGTGGGAAAGTGCTGCTGTCTGAAAGCCCTGTATCTGCTTCTTGAGGGGTGCAGGCCCCTCACTTCTCCCCAGAACAGCATCACAAGGTGCAGGTGCTCAGGGCCTGCCCAGCAGCAGCTTTGGCTTCTTTTTGTTAGAGAAATCCAAGCCAGAAAAATGAGTAGTAAGCAGCAGAGTAGGCAGAGAGCTGGGCTTCCCATCAAGCTGGGCTGCTAGGATTGCATCCAAACTGTTTTACAGTGTGAAACTCTCCCTGGAGCTGACTCAACTGTGGAGTGTTAAAATAAAACACAAAGCTCAGGTTACAGAGTGCCTGCCCAGCCTGACATGGGCGGCATTCTCTGTCTGCAGCGTTTTGGCTGAACCTTGGAAACTTTCTGTGAAATACTAAAGACCACCAAACAGGTTCCTCTGGAGTGTGCAAGTCAGAAGTACCAGCAGCAAATCAAATCAGGCTTGCAAACGAGTCGTAAAAATGCAGGGATGGTGGTTAGAGGCCACTTGGCTTCCTGCTATCCAATAAAAGGGCTACCAGGATGATCAGAGGCCTGGAACATCTGCCCTAYGAGCAAAGGCTGAGAGAGCTGGGTCTGTTCAGCCTGGAGAAGAGGAGGCTGAGGGGGGACCTGATCAGYGTGTATAAATACCTCAAGGGAGGCAGTGAGGAGGAGGGGGGCRGCCTCTTTTCAGTGGTGGGCAGGGATAGGACTAGAGGAAATGGCTTCAAACTGAAGCATCGGAAGTTCCACAGGAACTTAAGGAAGCATTTCTTCACTGTGMGGGTGACAAAGCACTGGAACAGGCTGCCCAGAGAGGTTGTGGAGTCTCCTTCTTTGGAGATCTTTAAAACCCGCTTGGATGCAGCCCTGTGCCACGTGCTCTAGGTGACCCTGYGTGAGCAGGGGGGTTGGACTCGATGACCTCTGAGGTCCCTTCCAACCTTCGGCATTCTATGATTCTATGATTCTAAAAGACCTGTTCGGTCTTCAATACTGAGTCAGTTTGTAGCATGAGAAAGCATGCGAGTCTTACTCCTTACACAAAATTCCTAGAGCTTTGGGAAATAGGGGTTTGAATGTTTGGAGACCCCATGTTCTACTAGTTTAAACAGACAGGGTGAATTCCCAGGCACCAGCGCACAGCAGCGCTGCCGGCAAGAGACAGTCRCCAGGTCGGGGAGGTGGCAAATCCCACAAACTAGCTCTGAATGTTCTCTGAAATCCAAGATTTCATGGTTTAACTGATCAGAGACTTGCATTATCATAGACCTGTGGTTGCAGTTGTAATGTGGACAAACCCTAGTGCTGTCCCATCTAAAGTGGGAACTATAACCCCTTGCCGCTTTTTCCTTTTCCAGTCAGCAGAAGGAAGTAGTGGAGAGATTTTCCCCTTTCACTATGCTTGCTCCCATTTTTTAATGTTCATTTACATGCATAAGAATAAGAGTGATGAACTGTGTGTGATTTCTTGATCAGAAAAACAGAGATTATTTTCTTGCTGTTTAGTTCTTAAGAATATATCCAACTGAGTACAATTGGATAAAACTGACAGGATACACACTACTAATTTTTTAATAGATGTCAGAATGGTGGTAATATTGTAAAATTCCAGCTATTTCAACTCAGCCTACATCTGTCAGTGTTTGCCAGATTATATTTGCTAGCTGTTCCAATATGCCAAAAGGATGTTGTATTCCACATACTAATCATTTTTACTAATTATACTTTGTACTTAAAAGAAAACAAAAAAGCATGTAGTATTATTATTACCCAAATACAAGCAATTGAAAGGAAATCAAATAAAAACAAGGACTGCAGAGCAGCGTTTGATGTTACCACTTTCATCCAGAGAAAAGTCATCCTGTGCATAGCGGAATTTTTCTGGACCACAGGCGATAAACACATCATCATCCCCAAAGAAATCATGGAGACAGGTCACCTACAGAGAGAGCAAAGACATTTATTTTATTTTTAATTGGCAACATTCTGATGAGGCTCAGTGTTAATTTAAGCATAAGGGTACTGCTTCTCTGTTGCCCCATCCCAGGCTAATTCAGTCCTTTTTCCTATCAGCCTGTTACGCAACACACAACGCTCATTGGCAAGTCAACCATAATAGTATAATTAAAAAAAGGAAGACAAAAATCCCAGCCACCCTGCAAAATCCCACGAGGTCTGGCCTTTCTGGGCCATTCAGGAGCTGACGAGCTAYGTTAGCCATCCTAATGAATGACTCAGGCATTCCTGGTAGACTTTTAAAATACGAAGTGAGGTGGCCACCACACCGCATTGTTTGGCCAGGTGGTGACACCACTGCCCAAGTTAATGAGGAACTTAGTACCTACAAGGCCTGTAAGGACCATCAAAAGGTATTGGGGTGGGGGAAGCTGTCTGAGATACCCAGCAGTCATGGTCACAATAGCTAATCTCTCTGAGCACCTCACCTCTCTATTTTGCCACTCTGAATGGGTTGAAATCATGTTTTGCAGCACCTGGAGTTCCAGATCCAGGATGCCTTGCAGGGCGGTGTGGAGCAAGGGATGAAGGAAAGCAACATACAACACAAGTGACCTCGGACACAAGGACGCATCAGGCTGGTACCTTTGCCTTCAGTCTTCCTATAATGCTGTAATCTGCTGGGAAGGGACACAGTGACTCCGTCACCATCATCCCCGCTAGCTGAGAACCATCTCTGTGGTGGRTGGGTGCTCTCGCTCTCCTGCCAGTCAGAGCCCCCATTCTGCCCACTGTGTGGGGCACAACGGGCTCTCGAGGAGCATCTGAGCACCCTGACAAATAAAACACTGATCTGCAAGGGCTGCGGAGGGTACTGGAAATAACAGTGGGAAACTTACTGCAGACAGCGCTGAATTTCTCTATCTACTGATCTGGCTGAGATGGACTGTGAAAAGTTAATTTCAAGCTCTAATAAATCAAAAATAAAGAAGGCTTTTGGCTATCCTAATAAGGCTCAGAATTTCACACTGGTTAATATAATGCATAATTAAAGCAGGGTCTATGAGTGCCAGTGCTGGATACAATGCCAAACCTTAGCAAAAAGCCTGCTTTTCACATCTGCACAGCTTTCAAAAAGGAGCAAGCTGAAATCTCCAATTGGCTTCAATCAAAAATAGAATTTTCTTGGCAACCTTCAATGGACTCCAATTTCTATTTGTCTAAAATTAGGTTGAAYGTAGTTAACACGTTACCTATAAAGTATTCTCCTACAGAAAAGATGATATTTCAAACCAGGGCAAGATATGAGGATCCTCCCTGAAGATGGTACCATTGATTTATCTGTAAATAACTGGCTTTGCCTCAATGCACAATCCCCATCCAAATGTTATGCAGTGGATTTACCCATGGAAAAGACTCACAGGTTGCTTCTCTCACACTTCAATATGGAAGCTCAGGATAGTTAATTTAGCACAAAGCTACATCCCAACATTAGGGTTTGAAAAGCTTACAGTCATTTAGATGAAAYCATAAAGGTTCTAGAGCTGCTTTTACTGTAACCAGATTGTGATACAAAATGATTATTTTCTCCTTGAATTACCACCACGAGCAACGAACAAAATCTTCAGAAATAATTCAAAGGTCCAAATGTGGTGGAAAACTACAAGCGTGCCCAAGGACAGAAACCTGATTACATGTCAAGCAGAGATACACGCAGCTCACTTCGCTGCATTCTTGCTCCCTCACATTGGAAGATATTGTGCACATTTTAGAATTACGATCAGCTGCCTGAACGAGTACTGACAGCCAGTGGCAAACTGAGCTTGTGCCACTGTTACTCAGGAAATGGTAACTTTGGTACTGGCTTTACATCTTACCTTGTCTTTTCTGCTGCAATTACCACTCTTAAAGGCCTGAAGATAAAGCAAAGCTACCCAAAGCCCTCTCCTTCCATCAAACAGTGAAGCTCAGGAAATGCATCGCGTGTTAGGCAGCTCTAACCTAGCTCCCTTGCCTCTGGTCACCGGGTAGGTGGTATTTCCTATCTCACTCTTGTTTAGCCATCACAAATCCTTGCTCTGGTTGCCTGGATTATTACTGTAAGCCCCTGCAAGGTGTCCCATATGTATCACTGTCAATATGAAGCTGCTGGAATAAACTTTCTTAGTAAAACATGTGCCTTAAGGGCTGCAGCTCTACATCAATCCCAGTTTGCTCGGGTGGTAGCAAGTAAAAACACCAACCCTGTCAGTAGCAACAACACTRAAAAACGACCAATTAGTTAGACTTTGCCCTTCCATGTTTTTTAATTTCCAAACTTTTTTCACTGCAATGACAAATTAAACTTGTGTATATAAAAGGAAAGCTATAGTAAATAGGATAAATAGTATTGGTTTCCAAGATAAATGTGTAGGTCTTTGTTTAAAAAAGCATCATACTTAATTTGAAATTCAGGATTAAAGAGGCAATATTGACTTTAAAAGGATCATATTGTGGGAAAGGTTTACAATCTGTTTCCTGTAGCATAATCAACTCCAGCGAAGGAAGCCGTGCCATCGCGCTGCACAGAGCGGACAAGGCACACACTTATCTCTTGCAAAGCAATTACTGCTAATAGTTTTCATGGATTTTCTTCTTTGTGTTGAGGTTTGATTCTTTTAGCTTTATAATAGAAATTATAGAGGGAATAGAAGACTGTAGAGATTAACAGATTTTAGGGAGCACAAGAGCGTTTGCAGTTTCTTACACCTTTGTTAAACACAGTGCGTTTTCTCCTTAGCTGAAATCCTGCTCTGCTTGTGCTGGAAAAGGGCAACGGCGCCAGGATTTCCAAGCGGGAGCTCTGTGGTGACGCTCCACTAGTGCCTGCCTAGGTGGTTTGAATTGCAGAGAGCAGAGCCGTGGCCCTCGAGAGCCGCGGAGCCGCCGCACTCRTCTGCAGGCAGGGCTGCTATGACCACGTCAGCAGTTTTCAGCCTTGGGACAAAATGGAGCTCGCTTCAACGTCCCTCTGGATGGCAGCTGCAATGTCTGTGACACGACAGGCACTGCTCTGCGGCGGGCACGCAGGACCTACCCACAGAGCTGTGAATAACCGGCTATTTCTACCACCCTCCAGCAGGCTGCAGCAGTATTTAAAAATAGTAATTCAGTGACAAATAACTAAAAGGAACTAGAAATAACTAAAGGAACTAGAAATTACAAGCCATTCTCCTCCAGATCAAACAATGCAGTTTCATTTAGAAGTCTGAGTCACCTACCAGAGCAAAACCTTGCTGGGCTTTAAAGAGGTGCAGGGATTAACCAGCCCCTCCTGCTGCCTTTAATAACACGCATGGGGCACCGTTGGCCAAAAGGAGCGTGGGGCACCTCTCTGAAGAGGAGTGGGTCATCGGACAGGTTAACCGAGCTGCCTTCCTCACCATCTTTGTGAAATGGCTTTATCAGAGGCTCCTCTTCATAGCTGGTGGGGTCAGATGGGGCTGCAGGACAAGATGCTGGTGCAGGAATTCTTCTGAAGAGTGATTTATGTGCATAATCCTGCTCCCAGACTTTCCATCTCTTCCTTGCATGCAAAGACCTCTGCCTAAGATGCAAGCAGAGAGCCGACTAAGGAGATTTGCAGTAAGATCACAACGGGATCAACAGGCTGAATTTCTTCCATGTTGGGAGCTTTCATCTTGAACCAGCAGCTTCATTCAATGAATTGTTCATTCGCTGTAGGGAAAGTTAGAGCCAGCGCCAGGCTTCTTCCTCTGATTATGCCTCCATTGGTCATGATGAATTTGATAGCTTTTCTCTCCCACTCAAGGTTTTAGAAGACAAAATAGAAGAAGATTCAAGCACAACGGCAGGCCCTATTGATGCCTGCATTTCTGCAGGTCTGGTGGCTATAGTCAGGGAGAAGAGAGCTCTCTTTGCTCTCTTCTTCAGTGTCACAGTTTGGAAGCTTCCTAAGTTCAGATCAAGAAAGAAAACTTCAAAAATAATTTCCTTTAAGTCTGTAGAGACCATGGAAGACAATTTATATGCGGCAAACAAAGTCCATCCACTTACTTATATTCTTTAAGTTCCTCTGAAAAATGCTATACAATTCAGCATGCCAGATCACCTGTCAGCTGAAGATAACTAATGTATTTTAGAGGCCTGCAAATATCCATTCTCTCTCAGCATCCAAGCACCAAAAAAAAGGAGTTGGAGCTCAAGAGCCATAATAAGATGTAAGTGAACACTGAAGTTTCAACTGAGATGAAACTCAAACTAAATTCTGTTCAGATTCTGGTCTAAATCAAGCCAGAAATCTAATGTACTTCTTCATACACTGGTACCTTTACTGCAAAGCATAATGCTGCTGTTTGGATTATCTCAGATCTGAAAAGACCAAGTCTTAGATCATGAAGGCAGCTTTGCTTTACAATTAATGAGTTGTGTGTTTGCAATCAATAAAGCAGGATACAAAAACAAAACACAGAGACTTGTCCAGAGCCAGTTCATGTGTCAGAAGGAGTAGCAGGAACTAATGAATACACCCAGTGGACTTTACAGAAATTACTTTCTCTTCTCTCACAAGCTCTTCACCACATGTCTCCAGAAAGAAGATTTCAGAAGACTTAAAGGGTTAAGGAGATGTAATGGAAAATAAAGATGCAGATACTGGAATACATAGCACTTAATACAGGGCTTTTTATAGCAGTCTAAAGACATGACTGCAAGCCCAGAGCAGACACTGATTTAAGCTGYATTAGATTCTGCTTTCCTGCACTTAAAAAGAAAAGATGTTTAGATTTGTTTTTTTTTTTTTTTTTAAGTTTATACACACCCACTCAAGAGATTACACATTTGCAATTCACAGAAACAGAATTACTGAACTGCTCTTAGGAAAAAATATGGCCTAAAATAGATGAGCAACAGAAAGATGAACCACAAACTCGGGGTCGCAGACAAGCCAGTGAACTGGGGCGCTCCCGCGTGCCCGGCCCTGCC